GTCGATAATTTTCCGTTGGTATGGAGAACCAAACGTGGACGGGTGAGTCTTAGCGACGATCCCAGGGTGGGTGCACCAAAAACGGCAGTCACCCAGGAAAACGTCGATACTGTGCGCAAACTCATCATTGAAGATAGACATGTGATATATCGCGAGATTGAGGCGTCCTTGAAGATCTCAAAGACCTCAATTTAAAAAAATTTACATGAATCATTAGGAGTAAGAAAATTAGTTTCTCGTTGGATTCCCCACCTGTTGACTGAAGAGCAGAAAGCAGCCAGGGTTAATTGGTGTCAAAAAACGCTTGACCGCTTCAATTCCGGAAACTCAAAAAAATGTGTACCACATTGTTGGTGGTGATGAATCGTGGATTTACTGTTATGGACCAGAAAATAAACGTTAGTCGGCTGTTTGGATGTTCCAAGGTGAAGAAAAGCCAACAAAAGTCATCCGTTCTCGAAGTGCTTCGAAAAAGATGGTCGCGACATTTGGGTCAAAAGCGGATCATATATTGCAACAATTCCTCTTAATGAGCAAAGAACTGTTACTGTGGATTGGTATACCACCATTTGTTTGCCAAAAGTCATCACCGAACTTCGAAAAATCAACCCCGAAAGAAGAGTCATCCTCCACTAAGACAATGCAAGCTCGCACACAGCCCAAAAGTCAGTATTTAACGGAAGAAAGCGTGGCATTATTGGACCATCCTCCATATAGTCCCGATCTAAGTCCTAACGATTTCCTCACTTTCCCGAAAATTAAAGACAGACTGCGTGGTCAAAGGTTCCAGTCACCATAAGAAGCGGTTGAGAATACTTCAAAAAACGATAAAGTCATTTAAAACTACCTACCGTGTTGTTTTATTTCCATAAGCAAAACTTAAAGGACATCCTCGTAATGGATAAAAACGAATCGCACGGTTGCTTTTTCTACCTGGCCGAATTCATTGGACAGAAGTAATTTGACTAAACTTGCGTTATAAGCCACTTAACCTGTTTGCTGATGAATACGCTGTAATAAAATCGATAGTTCGGACAATGACCAAGCGAGGTTCGAAAACTAGTTTGTTTGGAGCGCTGGCGATGATATCACTAAAGTTTGCCGATAGATTATATTGCGCTATCTAGTCGAGTTCCAGTTTAGGACTTCCAAGGGTTCAATAAGGAAAGAATGCTGTTGGGAATTTACAAATAAAATTCAGTGGCTCCTGATATCTAGTGTTATCGAACGCCGAGAGCGTAACATGCCACAGATGTTTGCCTTGAAAACAAATTATCCAATATATTTAGTATTAGATAATCTCAAAAAAAAAATTGATGAAATCTGGAAAGTACTATAGTGTGATAACAGTAAATACTGTGAATGTTTTGAGATTTGCGAAGGATGAGTAAAACAAGCTCAAACGTCCTTTGTGTATTCTCCACAATCATTGGCCATTTCTGGTAGTTGCAAAGAACGAGAATACCCTGAGCCTCGACAGTTTGAAGATCTTCTTTGGTGAATATAAATATCCAAGGCTCAAATTCATACTAAGGAACTTATTTTAGCAGCTTAGATGTCCTCTGTTGTTTAGGTTTGTGATACAAAAGTTTGCGTTGGAAAGCAGTGTTTGTATATTCATAGGTGCTGGTTTTCTTAATGTCAGTGCATTAGTGATTATGCGTTTTGCATATACCGTTACAAATATACACGGTATCCGCACAAATCAGTAACTTCATAGCCTCCATTAACTCCGATAAAAACCTATTTATAATAGAAGAATAACATTTAATTTAGACTTTTTCCCAAAGACAAAGCCATCTTGTGGGAACACTAATCAAAGTGGACACATCAATAAGTTTTTTTCAGAATCTAGAGACCGATTCAATGAAAAGCTATAAACAATAGAATTTTATACAGGGTGTAACAGAACGTAAACGAAAAATTGTATAAACCAACCTACTATTCATTATATGAGAAATACTATTCGAGTTTATTGCCGTTTGATTCCAAAGTACAAGTTGGTTAAACTCTTCCTTAATTTGAAGCATTAGTGGCTCTCTAGGTCCCTACTCTGTCCATAAGTTCCTACGAATGGAATTTAAAAATCCAGGCTTAAGAACATCCTGTACATTTTCAATTGATACTTACAGTATATTCAGATAAGAGATAGACCGGATGTAAACAAAAGGTTCGGGTGATTTTCACGCTAACGCCGCCGTCTCGACGTAAAACAGGAGCCCTCATTGGTCAATTCGCAACTAAATGCCTATGCCGAGTGGCAGAGCAGTCGTATCAAGGCAGAGTCACATTCAGGTTCAGACGTGTTACGTATGTCGTGTGCATCATTGCAATTTGATATTTCTTTGGACGTTTTCGTTTGTTATCTTATTAAGTTGTTGAGTTTGTCGTTGTTATTGTTATACCTTGTTATTGATTGTTATTGTTATCAACTGCTTGCGCAAAATGCCCAGTAGTACAGATACTGCCGATGAAGTTGTAAACTCCTGTAGTACACCTAGGAAACGCTCTAAAAAAAGACACCTGAGTGCAGAAATGAAAGAGGTCATTTTGAATATATATAAGATCGAGCGCGAGGAGAACGAGGCATCAACCATCAAAGAAATTGTTGTGAAGCTTTCTCACAAAGTTGGGGTGTGTCGCGCATCAGTGTTTAATGTGTTAAGACAATACAAAAAAAATCACACCTTTTCTGAGCCAATGACCAGTAAACATCGCAAAAGTATTGTTAAATCATTGGATGAAGCTGATAAGCATGCGATTAGGAGGAAAGTGTATGAATTCTTCTTTAGGAATGAAATACCTACTATATCTAGATAAAGTACTGCAGGAGGTAAATGGAGATACAACGTTGCCAAATTTCAAACGATCAACTTTCCATGCATTACTGAAGCATTTAAATTTCAAATGGAAAAAACGGGGTCGTAATAGTTTACTACTGGATAGAGAAGAAATTGTGCTATGGAGGAGAGATTATTTAACAAAAATTGGGAAATATAGAAATCAAAAGATTTATTACCTTGATGAAACGTGGGTAAACGCAGGACACACTACAAGTAAAGTATTGGTTGATGATTCTGTAACTTCATCCAGGAGGACCTTTCTAGATGGACTGTCCACCGGATTAAAAAATCCAGCAGGTAAATAGGAGTAATAGACAACAATCGGATGTTTTTCAAACCTTGGGAACAAGGTTCTAAACATTAATTCCAGGGGGCAGATAAAACATATTACAAGTAACAAAACTTTTATAACTTTCGATAAAATGCGTGGATGTTTTATTGTCATTTTCATTTGTTAGAACTTTTTTAAGCCATGTTTTTATATGTTTTCGATATTTCAATAATTTTTTAATATAATCTTAAGATATGTCGAATATTATAAACTTAAAAAAAGTTACTAAGTTTTATATTGTGTACCGTTCCTAATATTTCTAATCATTTTAATTCATACTTTAAGCTTTATAAAGTTATAATTTGTTAATATTAATATTTGCGCGTATTTCAGGTACCTGATCATTCATTTTTTAAAGGTTTATAACTTTAAATTAAATTGTGAAGCGCTGAGTAACCATACGACGTTCAATATTCTTTCTTTCAATATGACTAAATAATCCCAATTATAGCAATCTGATACTCATGTCTCAATGTTTTTTCGCTGAATGTGATGAAAACATTTGAAAAAGGTTCGCTTATTGAAATAAATTTACACCAGTTAGTACTTTGATTTCCAAGTAAAGGGAAAAGGCTCATTATCTGCCATATTGGCAGTGAGGATGGATTTGTTGTTGACGGTCTGTGGTGCTTTGAGTCTAAGAAAACTGGAGATTACCACGAGGAAATGAATGGCGAATCGTTTGAACAGTGGTTTTCAAAAATTTTACCGAACTTAGAGGAAAACGCAGTAATTGTGTTGGATAATGCGCCTTATCATTCTCGAAGAATGGATAAGGTCGCAACAACGGCTTCAAGGAAAGTTGATGTTCAAAATTGGCTCCGCTCGAAAAATATCAACTTTGAAAAAGCAATGCTGAAAGTACAATTATTAAGAATTGTCAAGGATCACAAGGCGGAATATCAAAAATACGCCATTGACGAAATGGCAGCAAGTCAAAATAAAACTGTGCTCCGTTTACCTCCATACCATTGCGAGCTCAATCCCATTGAGCTCATATGGGCAGAGGTTAAAAATTGTATAGCTAAGTACAATACAACTTTTAAATTTTGTGACCTCAAAGGACTTTTCAAAGAAGCACTAGAATTAATAACAGCGCAAAAATGGGAAAACTGTATTAAGCACGCGAAAGACAAAGTTGAAAAGAGAATGTGGGAACTGGACAATATTTTAGAGGAACAAGTCGAGCCATTCATTATTGACGTTGGTGCTTCAGGCAGTAGCGATGATGAAAGCTCATCAAGCTCATCTTTCCAATAAAAGATGTCGTTCATCAAATTCGGTAAGTTATAAGTAATTATAAAGCTACTGTATTTTTTAATTAATTATTGACATTTTTGAACCCATTTTGGCAAAACCTATTCAAGAATCTACTTTCTGACAATGTTTAACCATGCACATTTTTTTACGTTTTGAACTTTTTAATTTGGTTACATATTTACCTAGAAATCAAAAAATATACTAATCAATATTCTAAAAGTAATTTTAAGAGATATACGATTATTTTTAATTTAGGCTAATTTAAACGCCATTTTGAGATTATATTCGACTGTATTTCACCAAACATCAGGCGGCATCCCCCACATGATCCAATATCCATCACCAATCGTATACACATCGAATTGTGCTAATTTACTACAAAGTTACGCAAAGCAGCATCTACTATCTAAAATATGTACTGCGTGACTCTTAATACGTCCCTGCCGAATGTTACAGCGTTCGATGATCACGTGGTCTTGTTTATGTCCGGTCTATCTCTTATCTGAATATACTGTATATGTATATTTATAAGATTATGTAACTTATGATGTTTTTTCTTGTTTCAGGAAGCTGCACAATTCCCACTAGTGAAAGATATGGATCTGTATAAAAAGTGTTCAGTGTAAATATGAATTAGGCATCTAGTCACATTATGTCTTCAGTAATGACACTCAAAGTGGTTCTTTTGCTCAACGTGCTCATTGTGGTTGTGGTTAGTGGCGGACCGGCATGGAAAGAGGTGAGTTTCATGTTCTAAATGCTTTTTAGGTTTTCTTTGTTATTTTTGTTATTATTTCATTGTTTAGTGAAGATCCTCCCCATATAATAATAATAATAAAAATAATAATAATAGTAGCGTTTATCTGCAGAGCAAAAAAAATACAAAGAGAAAAAATTAAAAATAAGGAAACAACATAAATTCCCTGCAAAAGGGACTAGCAAACAAGCTGATCAAATTACTAGCCCAACAAACAAAATTACAACAGAGGAGTTCTTACCCAAAGTTAATATTGATAATAAATAAATAATAATTACAAACGCCAAAAAAATATATGTATATACAGAAACTATATAACAAATATAATTTAACGAAAAGGGTCAAATCATTTTAGGCAGAATTAACAAAAAAGAAAAATTTAAAATATAAAAAGGAAACGAACAATATAAAGTAAACACTATAATTCATCTAATAGAAATTTTCTGTAACTTCTTTTAAAAGCTGATACAGGCATAGACTTAAGGTTTGTGGGGACGTGATTGTACAAGTGGTAGATAAAATGAGAAAACCATCTGTTAAACATAAATTTGTACGATGACGTGGTTGGGAAATCAGTTTCCGATACCGAACATTGATACTGTGAACATAACTTCGAAATGTAATCTTATTATATAAATAAGGCGGAGTTTTACATAGAACAATTTTATGAAACAAAACTGCAGAGTGCAGATTTCTCCTAGCTTCCATATTTAGCCATCCTATTACAGGTAACTTATAAGAAATATGTTAAAAATTTTTCATTCCAAAAATAAACCTAAGACAAGAGTTTCGGACACATATGAATATGAAAACATTAAGAAATGTCAAACTTGTGATTTTTTTGAATGTCTCACATCTGATTGCATATCCAGATGAACCCTACCAAATGAAGAAGATTAATATATAGTGACAAAGTCAACACAGAAGAATTTATTTTTTGAAGGAGACACTTTATAATAGGAAGCTGTGTTTCTTTAGACCCCAAATCAACTTTCAATTCAATTTCCAATCTAGATTAGGTAACATATAATAATAATAATAATAATAATGATAATATATTTATTGCCCAACAGATACATCCATTTAAAGAACAATGGAATTGAGAAAAATTGACATTACAGTGTTTTTTACTACAATCATAGCTCACTCAGTTTCTGAAAAAAAAATGAAAGAAGAAAATGAATAGCTACACCTACTCACTTAGATGTCTTAAATATTATAAATTGAATAATAGTAGTCGCTAAATACAGCTAATATATCTTTGACTTTATCATGATGAATGTCACAATTATCAGCTATGGTGTTAAAGCTGGAGCATATAAAGTACCCGGGTGACTTAATCATAACATTAGAATTTGGTGTTTTTAAGTAAAAAGCGAGAAATATTCGGGACGGTACATGAAAATTAATTTTAGCTAATAAAGCTGAAGAATCAACATCACTGTGTACGAGATTGTAAAGGAATTTTAAACTATTAAAAACTCTTCTCAGCTCAAGAGGATGCATATCAGGTCTGAGCAACATCGCTGATTGGGGAGTTTCACTATTGGGATAAACACCATCTAATTTAAAAGTCAAGTATTTAAGAAATCTCCTCTGTATACTTTCAATTTATTTTTATAGATTCGGTAATATGGATGCCATACACTAGATGCATATTCCAGCTTAGAACGCACCAAGGTGCAGTATAAAGCCTTCAGTGCCGTTTCACTACCAAACTTAACATCAAACAACACACCTAGATCTCTTACTTCTGATCAACGCATCATACTGACACGTTCCAATGTGTAATCAAAAACTATTGGATTCGTTTTTCTGGTAAAAAAAAACAGGTTTTGCATTTACTAACATTCAAAAATAATTTATTAGTTGAACATCATTCAAATATATGATTCAGGTCAGCTTGCAAGATTAGACAGTCATCAATGCTGTTAATCTGAGCATATATTTTTAAGTATATTATAATTTTCTGACGGAAGAAATGAAGCGCAAAATTCAAGTATTACAAAACTGCTGCATGACATTCTGTTTCAAAGATATACATATACAAGAACATATACTAAGTGACATATAAATCCGAACACCCAGTTTAAATGGTTTTATTTTAATAAAATTTGGTGAATGTATTTATCTTACTGTAAATAACAAGTGAAAAAATGTTCAGCCTTATCAGTTGGACATTCCGGTTTTTATACTGCTTTTTTTTAATTCACTAACGCTCTAAAAATGAATATTTCAGCCGCAGTAAAGGACCAACGTTGGCGGATTTTGGTTCTTGACATCCTTTACGAACGGTTACGATGCCTAGAGTACGGAGACCTGTACGATTTCATCAATTTAGTGAGTTTGATAGGGGCCGTATAGTGGGACTTCGGGAAGCTGGACTTTCTTTTCGGGCAATTGCAGTTAGAGTGCAAAGAAGTGTAGACACTGTGGTTAGGTGTTGTCAGGCATGGCTTCGAGAAGGCCGTACGCAAAGACCAAGGGGCATTGGACGCCGCCGTTGAACAACAGACCGTGCAGATCGCCGCCTAAGATTATTGGCCTTAAGGGACCGTTTCTCCACTACCAGGTCCATTGCAAATGAATGGTTTGCAGAACACGGAAGACCTATTGGCATGCGAAATGTTTACCGACGAATGAGAAGTTTTGGCTTGTTTTCATACCGGCCACACTGGGTCCTCCCTTTAACTCGAGAACACCGACGTAATCGCCTTGAGTGGTGCAGACAACGGTCACTCTGGGATCAGGAATAGAACAGTATTGTTTGTTGAAAGACATGTTCATCACACTGTTTGGGGTGCTATAGCTTATGGTTCCAGGTCACCTTTAATCTTCATCAGAGGTAACATGAACGCGCAGCGTTATATCCACGAAGTTCTAGAACCCCATCTTCTACCCTATCTTGACACCCTGGCAGATCCAACTTTCCAACAAGATAATGCCCGACCACCTGATGCAAGAGTCACAATAGACTTCTTTCAACATAATGATGTCACATTGTTACCATGGCCACCAAGATCTCCCGACTTATCCCCAATTGTGCACGTGTGGGATATGATGGGTAGGAGATTGCTCAATTTGCAACGTCCTCCTCAGACTCTAGAAGCACTTCGAGAGGAGTTGGTGGTTGCCTGGAATGAGATACCACAGGAGGACATTGACCACCTGATCAGAAGCATGCCTAGGCGCGTTGGAGAATGCGTAACACATCAGGGTGCATCCACACATTATTAAAGTTTAAAGGGCTTTAAAGCAGTACAATCATTTTGAAATTTTTATCATTTACTTATTATGCTTCATTAAGTACTTATACAAAATTTTATTAAAATAAAACCATTTAAACTGGTTATCGGATTTATGTCACTTAGTATACTTATTATTATTATTATGACAATTAGTAATCACCAAAACTTAGAAATATTTGGAGTCTTAGAATGATCAGACAAGAAAACAAATATTTGACAGCTGTAGAATTATTTGAGAATATAAATTAATTCAATTGTTTTCGGGTACGTCATAGGTGTCCAGATGTATTAGTATTGCGATCAAAACAAATCAATTTTTTCAAAAAATACTGGATAACATTATCCGTATCTGCGCAGATGAAGGGTATGAAGGGTCTGAAAACAATTGTAAATCATGTGATATTCACCACAGCGCATAGTTAATTAAAATAAAATACGTTCCATTATTTTATAATTTTTTAGAACAATATCATTTCTTTCACTGCAATATGCTTTAGCTTGAAAACAAAGCCGTTGCGGACACATGTTCATATCGAAATTTTGTCTTCAAATTGAGCAAGAATTCGATGGCTAACATAATCGTTTTTCATCCATTTGTTTTACTAATTTTTACCCATTATAGGGTGATCAATTTTTTAACCCTTTGGCCTTTGATGAGCTTAGTCCGCCACAGTGTTAGCTCAGATGCTGGAACCTTTTCTTAAACTCAAAGTCACATTAAAGCTTCCAATGGAGTGTGGAGCGCATTTTTTGCATTTGCCAAAGTTACAGTGTGTGTGTTGTAGGGGCGTTATAATATAAATTTGCAGTGCTCTCCCACTGTTACGAAATTGAGGACGGTAGAAAATCAGTTTTTGGATCCATTCCATTCCGGTATCAAATATTGCTGTGCAAATACGAATTCATGTTCTATTTCGAAATGTAACAAAAAATCTGGTTTCTGATTAAAGCAACTCGATTGTTGCAATTAACGCGAGCTTTGACGTTCAACTATAGAGAACAGAACCGGAAAACAATTAAACTAGCCGTGTATGCCATAGAATGAACCTCTGTGTATCAATAGCCTACAAGCTAAAGGCGTAAGCTTTATTCAGAATGAATAATGGCTTTGTGGCTACACAAAGCGGCAAATTAAGCAAACACATCTCAATTGGAATGTCGATATCAAACGATGTACATAATTTAACGAACGTCATTAAAATCATTGAAATAATAGACGGCTTTATTTATCCACAATTACATTGTTAGACTTACATGGCGAAGTTTAGCATGCTGCTACTTTTACACTTATCCATATAGTCGCTAGAAGATGTTCAAAAAGTATACACTATCCACAAACAGATTTGGTTCATTACATCGAACGTAAAAATTAAAAGAAAGAAAGAAGCAAACTTTCCAAACCCAAGTACACCAAAAATTATTAACCTGAATTAAGTACAGAATAAAAAAGAAATGAATGATGAAAGACAGGCAACGAAAATTCTTTATATATGTTAGGAAGGTCATTATAAATAATAGCAACATTTTCTCTGAGAGTTCTACAGTGAACATCATTATTAAATAAATTTTTCCCTCAAGGAAGAGGGCTTAGACGTGAGCAGCAATTTGCGAACAAAACTGAGTAGTGGTACTTGACCATTTCATTAATTTTTAACCAGTTTAGAACGGGATATTTCGCTGATACATGGTCAAATTTATGTAAGCCAAAGATGCAACGTATACAGTTGTTTTGAA